CTCATTTTGTCTCTCATAGTTGAGGTATACCTATGATGAAAATTACAGGCCTCTCTCATCTTTTTAAGTGGGAGAACTTGCACAATTGGTGGCTGACTAAATACTTTTTTGCCCCACTGTATATTATGTAAACAAAAACTTTTCTTTTGGATGCGATTTATCGCGATTAATCGTTTGACAGCACTAATATATATATATACTTTTTTAAAGCCTTTAATTAGGAAAAACTCAGAGAGCGAAAAAAGAGAAATCTTCATAATATGTAGCCTGGTTGTCTCTGTAATCTAAATGTTACCATTTATCTTGTAAGATACCAAAATATCAGTCAATCTGTCACATTCAAATATGCTAATATATGCAAATAAAATTATGAGGACTATGATGCAATAACAATGCAAATCATAATCAAATATTTCAATCTTTTTTTTTTTAAATTAAGATTTGTAATTGATTCTTGTTTTTCAAGGCAAAATGAACCTATATGTAGGCTACGTACATTTATGTATGCTATATTTGAACCCTAAACAGCATGGAAATGAGAAGAGTGCAGAGTTTGCCCATATTAATTTTACACAAGTGAGAGTTCAGAGAAAATGTCAGTCGCCTTCCACCACTGAGCTCTGGTCGGTTTTAAGGATTGTACAACTGACTCTGGCTGCATAACGTTTTCTCAGACAATATAAACAATAATCATGTTTCGAATCAGAACCAGCTGTACCCAACTCATAATTGAAAAATGCCGATTCTTTTCAATAATGACTCCATCAAATGTTGTCAATTTTGAAACTTTATTATTTTAACTGTTTGACAACAATTTTGAAATGTCAATTTGCTCACTCGTTTCATTCACTTCTTGAAGTGGTCTCAGTGGCGTAAGTTTCTTTAAATTACAAAATTATAAAATTAAAAATAGGCCTATTTTTATGTAAAATTATTAGTTAAACTAATTGTAAAAATAAATATACTATTCAAGCAGTTTTATAACAGTAGAGCCATGCCAGCCATGTCATGTCATGGCAACCATATACATTGCTCACTGATTCCCTTTACAACAGTCCCTCACGAAAAGCCACCA